CATTGGGAAATTGCCAATAGTTTAGTTTGTATAATACTGCATTGGGAAATTGCCAATAGTTTAGTTTGTATAATACTACATTGGGAAATTGAAAGGTGAACCTCCTTGTATTAAAGGAATAGTTATTTTCCAAGCAAGGAGTCAGAAGGGAATGGTATAACAGGACTTCATTTGTAGATCATGGTTATAATCAGTTTTGATTTTCTTATACTCAGGCATTTGGTTTAGTGAAAGGTCAGAATGTGGCATTGTTAGTCGATGCATCAGATTCTAATTGTGGATATGGCCGGCTACAGCTTTTCCAAGAATCTCTAGGGGTATGATGTAATGCTTCATTAACAGTATGGTGTAATTAAATTTGCTCTATTAGTGTGTTACTATGACTGTATCTTCAACTGATTACTTTTTTTAGCCCTATAATCCCTAAAGAGTGACTGGTGTCTAAATTCTCCTCACACTATCCCGCCTGAGTCAAACATTAGGGTCACGAGAATAAAGGAAATGATCACCAACTGAAGACACTCTTGATTGTTAAACAAATTCTCCTTGTCAGCACCTTAGGAAATGTATAGAGAACAGTATGGAGAATATGCATACTGATGTTAGGGTGTAAAGGGTTAACAAATTAAAGAAACTGGCTTTCCAAGACATTCTCTTTTTCTTACACTGTATGTGAAGATTTCTGACATTGAGGTGAAATTTTATCATTTAACTGTTAAAATTCAGCAGGGATTGATCAAACAGTTATTTTCAAAAGGTGTTAACCCCTTGACCCCTAAAGAGTGACCATCATCCAGTTTCTCTTTACAATAATATGTAGATTTAGCCAAGCCTAAAAGGGGAGTTTGCATTTTTTTTCCTGCATGTCTCATCAACAAAACAAAAGCTCCTACTATGGATAAAGTGGGTGTTAATATAAATTCATCTCGAACCTAGAGTCTCCTGAGGTATGGTACAAGTGTGGCACACACGTTGTGCTCAAATGCCCGCTGGACAAGACTAGAGCCGTAATATTGGTATGCCCGCAGTACAGTTGACCACACATGCAAAAAGTAGGACCTTGTACGGATGCCCGTACAGTCATATGTCCAAATTTTTTCGGCTTGATGGGTTACTACTACTATTTTGTATAATTATGGAGCTACACTGCACGTGTTGCATGCACTGCAAGTTCAGCTCTCACCCCTGAATCAAACATTAAAATTATGAGAATAAATGAAATGATCTCCGACTAAAGAAGCTCTTGATTTTTAAACAAATTCTCCTTGTCAGCACCTTAGAAAATGTATAGAGAACAGTATGAGAGAATATGCATACTGATGTTAGAGTGTAAATGGTTAAAAGTATCATGAAACTGAGGCATAATAAACTTATGTTCAAATGATCTTTGCATCTGATTATTAAAGGAGCTTATTGATGAGCAGTTGGCCAATAAAGAAAGACTATTCTTCTTATCATTTGGAACCCAACCCAAGCCATTATGGACTGTAGTCAGGGATGTGAACTGCCGAATGTAAGTAGTAGTCTTCTAAGTGGTGCTATAATGTGCTATAAAACATTTTAATTTGTTAAAGTATGTAGTAAGAAGTAAATCATATTTTTTTATATAGTTTGTTCTCTGATTGTGTAAGAGTTACTGTTATATGCAAACAGAGTGTAGAGAAGAACAACTGACCAGCATGCAAGTTGAAAAGAGATTTTGGTTTAATTGCATCAGGCTTATTGGGAAGGTGGCATGATTCTTGTGAAGTGCAATCCAAGATGTTTTTCAACATTCAATTTAACTTTGCTCTTTATTGAATGGGGTTGTGATTTGACTACTGTTTTCAGTGTTGAGGAATCTCATTGGTGGGCAGATAGTTTACATCCCCAAGGTGGATGCAACGTACTGTCAGCACTTAAACAAGTCGTCAAGAGAAAAGAGATAGACTCCATTGTTTTGGTCCTGGGAAGCTGGTATGATAAATATCACAATTCATAGATAACCTCTGCTTGATAGAAGCATCATGCAGATTTGGCATGAATGAGATTATAGATTTAGTAAGTGTGATGTTGATTTGTTTTCAATGATTTCCCCGTTTTGCAGCCCTGACCAGAATCCCAAAGTGATCTGTGAGTATGTACGTGAGTCCTTGGCAGGTAGACATGCTCCTTTGCACACTGTGGCATATGACTGCAGCATCTCAGCAACTAATGTAAGTATATATTTGTTAGCATGAGCTCAAAATACATTTGCGAGCTGTAGTCAAAGCTGTGCCCTTCAAAAAATTACCATGTGCTTGAAAGTTCTTGTCTTAGAAAGCTGGAATGCCCAGCCATTAAAATATTTGTCAAAGCAAAGTGATAGACCATGCCTGTGGCACCCAGGCTCTGCTTCTGAACTGCCCCATCCTGCCCCCCCCAAGAAACAAAAAAACTAACAAAATTTGCTCTCAAGGACATGTTTTTTTATCTTTGTGCTTATACTTTTGTCTCATACCCTTACATTTGATTGGTTGACATGTTTAAAAATAATTTTTACAATTCACCCCACCACACCCTTTCCTTGTAACAGTGAATAACAGAGGATGACTCTGGCACAAGGTGATAAGTGTCAGCATTTGTAATCTGAATGAGATTTTTCCCGAAAAAAGGTTTTGCACCTGTTGAATGAAAACTTTTCTTGTGGGAAAATATTAACCTGACATATTTTTTCAGATGTTTCTTAAAGAGCTCGCTGAACAGTCAGGAGGAAGATATCATTGTTATGTCTCAACTAGTGATGTGAGTTGGTGTATATGTTAGGCTTATGGCTGTAATCATTGTTATTTAATTAAATAAGACAAAGAACATAGAGAATTATTTTTTACTTAATTCAGTTTCTACCAACTTTCAACCTGTGTTTATTCATTTCAGGAGCAAATTATGACTGGGACTGATCTAAGTTTAATAGCTGATGAAATGAAGAAGGCTCAGGAAATCTTAAAGAAGATCCATGAGATGAAAAATGGAGTCATTGGTGACAAAAAAATTGTTATGCAGACAGGTGTTGACACTACTCTGAGCACTGTAAGTATTAAAGGTAACATTTTTCTGGATAACAGAATAAAACTTTCCAATGCTTCGAAAACCACAGCATTTCCAACATCCATTATTGACTTTCTGCTTTTTCTCCATCAAGGTTCAGCAAAGTCTGGAGCTGATGAGGATACCATCTGAGGACGGTGAGATACTGAAAACTGACAGTTCACCTCTGGTAGTTGAACACCCTTCATTTCCTGCTCGGACATCAGCTGAGTGGTTGAGACAGCATGGACTTAAAGGTAACCCATGAATGATTTAAAAATTTTTATACCATCAGGGAGTTTTCCAACTGAGTGTTGAGAAAAAACAAGGTAAATCACAATTATAGTCCTTTGGAGATTGAAAAAAAAAATATTCAGAAGTTTGATAACTCAAAGAAAATAGTTCTCTTAAAACTAGTTTAGGTGATCTATTGATTGTGTCAATTGACTGTATATTAACTATTTTCCTTACTTTACAGCCAAGGGGCTCAACCTTTATCAAGTGCTAGCTCCTAATTCTTTTTCATATGTGGATGGGTACATTTCTGCCATCAATAGAAATGTGCATTCTCTAGTTTATGAGAGGGTATGTCCTTTTAAAGACTTTTGCATCTTTTAAGATTAAAAAATAATGAGAAATACTTAATTTTCCTTTTGCTTTTGAGTGCATTAATTGAACCAATTGCAAACCCTTTGTAACTCTTTGGAACCTCATTAAATCCTCTTTGAAAACCTGGCCTTTGATAACTTATTACAGGGCATTGACCATCTGGTATGTTTGTATCGAAATGGGGCACAACCCACATTGCAACGTTCTACAAGACCTTTTTTTCACTGAAGCGGTTTATGTCTGGCACCTTTTCTTTTTTATTCTTTTCTTGTGTTGTAGGATGAGTATAAAATGCACCCAAAAAAAATTATACACTTCCCGGGAATTTTAAGGTCAATATGTTTCTTACTCATTATACAGAGCATGGCCCAGTTTAAATGGCATGATGGATCTGTGAAGAACGTGCATGTAGATCCAACCTTGCTTTTTGATTATCAGGTGTGTTGATGCTTTTGTTACACTTCCATCCGTTATTTTTGCAATATAGAGCAAAAGTCCCAAATCAAATATTTGGGGTTTTTTATTGATGAACATTTAAAATGGGATGCTCAGCTCCAGCATATCAACAATAAAATAGCAAAAAATATCGCAATTCTATTTAAGCTTAGACATTATGTACCTGTGAGTACGCTCAAACAACTGTACTAAACTCTCGTTGTGATATCCATATCTATCATATGGGTTGATATGCTGGGGAACTGCATACCAAACCAGGTTAAATAAAATCAAAAT